AGAACGTTTAGGAATTTCTTTAATTATACGTTATAAGTTACTTATAACTGTAATTTTGAAATTTATTCTCGTATGACAAATCAGTAGTTCACTTGTGTTGAGCCATTRATCGCTCTTACGCTTATATTTATATAGATACCTAATACCATTTTTTTTTTTACAGTGTCTACTACTTTGTGTTTCTTAATTTCTTATATTTATAGAAGATATTATATAAATCATGTGATAGAATGGGCCCTAAAATATTATAAGCAGTACAAACGATATAATGTGATATATGTAATGTTGATTTGAATGAATTCAATGCATAAACAGATTCCTGACAATCACTTTTTAAGGAGTTTGACATAGGCAATTTTAATAACAATACGTATTTCCAACTTGGTGCATTTTATAGAAGGGCCCCGAACCCACTTTCATTACAGTATTACACCATTAAAATATATTTAAGTTTCGCAGCATTAACAAATTAACGATAATGAATAATATGATATCTATGTATAYTCAACATTGGCTGAAATCAACTAGGCGAGGCTTAGACACTCAAAAATCTTTGTAGCCTCCTTAAAATGAATCAATTTTTTTTTTCATTTTAGAATATCTTCTTAGTAAAAGTTTAAGTTGTAAATATATTGGACTAAAAAATGATTATTCACTTTCATTGAACTACTCACGTAAATATTCAACCACCTACCATTATTTTTTAAATATATTATAAAAAATCGAACAGTACTTTTTTGTTATATTTTTGTATTCGTTAACCTCCTCTTCTCACCCATTCTAATTGTACTAAATTTCGACTGTATGATATACAATATCGATGGCTTTTAATTTTAAATGTTTACCTCTTGTCGTTATAGGTATTAACAATCATTATTCTTGTTTTTTACAGGTCCATCGCGTCAACTTGAACAACCTGATATTTTTAACTTAACAAAATGGTAAAACGTATTAGTAAGCACCATTATGTGGCCACACCCGGCAGCAGCAAACCCTACCACAGATCATCGGAGACGCTACCATATGTGCACAGAGGATATTCCACAGATGGTAAGAACGTAGAACAAACGTTAACTGTTATAATATGTTATCAAAATAATACATTTTTACGAGAAAAAAATTATTTTTTCCCGAAAAGAACGTAGGCAAGAATTTACCAGGGTTCTCTCAAAATTAAAATAATATAATAGAAGTACTTTAATACCAAGAAGATCTGTCTCTCTACCATCTCTATAATATCCTCCTATTCGAACACTTTAGTTATATATTATATGTATACTTTATAAACCTAACTGAATACATCACACGCGTATAGGTGAAGACAGTCAAAGAACTTTGTCCGAGTACACGATCGCCACAGACAGACCGTCGTCTCGCGGTCAACGGACGCCACCCAGGTCGAAGAGGTCCCGAAGTCTGGAGAGGCCGTCCAGCAGCTCCCGGGCCAGGTCGGCGGCCAGCCACCATGATTCGGACGTTTACGTGACCAGCGCTGCTTACAGGCCACCGTCCGAAATGAGGTGAGAAGAAACAACTCGGGAATTTGAGACAGTTATTATTAGGTTGTGGAATTCGAYCGTGGAGTTTTGATTTTCGGCTGAGCTTTAGTTTCGTACCTAGCTTTTAGACGTCATATTAACAATATAAGCCTGTGTGTTTGAGCTATTTAAACATGAAAATAGTATAGGCGAAATTTGGGTGGTTGGGGTTTTTGGGTAATGTAAGCCTACCTATATTGGAATTTGGAATAATATGTGTAACCTTGTACTCTTGTAGATACCTACTAAATCAATTTAAAGCAAATTATATTTTTCGCCCAACTACAGACACATACAATACATTAATAAAATTTAAATGGATATACAGTAGGTAGAAAACTAGAAAATATATTTCAGCGACCACTTAAGTGGTCACTTAAGTGACAGGCGTGTATCTATATAATAAAGGCGGTTTGAACATTTATGTCAAATGAATAAATTGAATGTTTTAGTATGTCGGTCGGAGAGTAGAAATCCTTCCGACGGGATATTTATTGATCGCGCGCGAGAGGCGAAAGGGATTATGTGCAATCTCTATATTATGTAGTGCGTGTTTGTTTCCAAGTCCACTAATATTATGTGTATTGATAAATTRTAATATTCGGCAATCGAGCTGATGTCAACTTAGATTGATATAGGAAACAATATTTTAATGACGACAATCATCACGAATGGTATGTTTTCTTTTTTTTCAGTCGAGGATCTCATTACACCAGCAGGAGCAACAGAAGTAGAGGGCCGGCACCCAGCCACTACTCGTACCGGAGCAACGGTCTTGCCCCCTCCGAAGTGTCGACGGTCAAGTCCAAGATCACGCGCAAACCAGGCGTCACTATTGAGACCATGTCGGCGCCGAATCCGTTTTGCCCGAACACCAAGGGTATGTGCTGCCTGATGCTGCTGCTCAACCTGGGACTCATATTGGTCACGTTGGGTTTCGTCATCGTTATACAATTTTTCGAACCGATGTTCGTGTGGTGAGTACCTACATGGTTACCAACTAATTAGTAATCACCTACCCGTTTACCTCAAGTTCGTGTAAATACAAGTATAATTCAGTACAGTGGTTGCCGGTCGAAAGTCGTACCATCATATACTTTAAGTTACATACCTATACCCAGCGGATACTCGTAAATAGGTACCTTATTAAAAATAAAAAGTTTGTCAAAAATCTTGCTAACTTTTTTTAATTTCAAAATAAATTAGTAAACTTTATGCTCCGATTATTCGTTAGAGGTAAAATCCCAAACAGGCCAAACACTAGAGTTTAATCTATGTGGGTAGTAATTTTAGTATTTTGTCATGAAATGTAAACAATTTGTAAGGGTTGCCCAAACCCAACACTGTATACCTATACACATCGCACCGCGAAAATTAGTTTGCGTTTAAATAATAAAATATATAGGTACCTGCTACATATATATYGTATTTTTGTTGAATTGCTATACATTTGGTTTTATTATTTGATCACAGGGTATTGGGCATAATATTCCTCATTTTCGGCTTCTTGACACTCATGGGCAGTCTAATCTACTGTGTGACGGTGTGCAGGGACGCTAAGACACCCAAGGAGGTAGCAATGCAAAATCACTACTGGACTCATCATTGGCAAAAGAGCTTTGGTGCCACACCAGAAATACATTACAAGACGGAGAAATATCCGCCACAGGCTGTGCACCACTCGGAYCATGACGAGTACAGCGATCGATTTTCAATTGGCAAACAATCGGACAGGCACATGCACGGACACAGATACTAATCACTTGATTAATCATAAATGTACATAAATGTTGTAATGTGTTTTTTGTAAGCTGTAAATATTTTAATGAAGTAATTTTTGTCAATCAATACCAATAATAGGTAGTGATTATTATAATCTGACACCCATGTTTATAATATCAAATGTATAATATAAAAATAGGTAATATTTTAATAATTATTACTAATCATATAAACTTAATAATAATTTATTTAAAT